TCAAAGTACACGATAGTAATATTCTTTTACGACAGACAATAACACTTACGAAGTATTGAATCTTAACAAGCGTTAAGAAGTGAGCTTTAACTAATGCTGTAAATAACACACTTTAGTATAAACTGTTTTGAAATGTACTGAGATCATTTAAAGTTTGCAATACAGGCAATTTAATTAAGAAGACGCACCATTTTAGATGGAAATAAGACCTCTAGCACGTTAAACACTACCTAAAGTCTGTTTCACAATCTCATTTGTTCATTGAGAAATGATATTATATGTATAGCCATCACTTTTTGTATAGAAGCTTTCGTTAGACAAACTAAAGCAATCCCTAGATGTCGTGGTGGCCTGGAGGTTAAGGCTCCTACTCCTCATGCATGAGGAGAAACCTGGCAAGCGCTAATGTGACTCTTTCTGAGTTAAGTATATACATTTGTTTTATGGTAAGTATCGAATGCCACCCATGGACACTTGCAACAACGGTCACAGGTGCGTTGCCAACCTTTTAAATGGGTTTGAAGGTCGTATCGGTTCGGGAATACCGGCGCTGGAAGACCATTCCAAAATTTTGCTGTGTGGGCCAGAAAGTTTCGCGTGAATCGCACAGTTGTTGACTGCTAACCATCAATGTGATGGGGATGAAGACGCTTTCGCGTAAAACGATGACAAAAGGTACGGTAGGGATCAAACCGAACAATCCCTCAGAAGACTCCCATCATATATGTGGTAGAGAACGCAAATTATATGAACTTTCTATGATTATTTAGATACCACTGACATACAGTAGAGGAAAACATCGTGAGGAAACTTAAAATCGCCAATCTGGCTTGAGCAAGCGTGGTGATTAAAGCTCAAACCTTCTCCGTGTGAGAAGAGGCCTTTGCTCATCAGTGGGCACTTATAGGCTAATGATGTAATTAAAGCAATGTGGTAATGTTTGTTGGCTTTCGCGTGTGATGATTTCGAGTATTACTCATTGCTGCTGCAGGAATACGATAAGAATCCTTTGCGAATCGAAACTAGTCGAGTCATTTCGCCAAATAGTTACGATGTTAAACCGATATTTTTTTTATTACCTCATTTTAGGCAGTCTGTTACGCCCATTAATACTTACAACTTATACTTTACATTAATACTTACACTTTTGGGGCGGGAATTTGAGGATTGGGTTTTTGGATATTGGGTCTTCGGTAATCTTTGTCAGACGGCAAACCACAACGCTAATGTTGTTTAGCGCTGATTTCTCAAGCTATTGGCCGTGGTATTACTTGAGACAGACCTTTCGTGCCGAAACATAGCTCACTCTTTCTTATTTCAGACTTATTAAATTATTTTTTTGGAATATCAACATATTCAATTACTTAATTGGTTTTAAATTGAAGTTCAATTTGCTTCACGTGGTGAACTTTAACACTATTGTAGTATACAGAACGCATGTTCGTTATAATTTTGCGGTTATGCCCTCTAGGCACGAGCAATTTAATAACTGTATCAGCTGCATTTTTTTCATACTTCATCTCGCACTATGCTTTTCTTCTATGTTCGTTTATAAACATATGAATTCAAATACAAAAGCGAGTGTCAGACTCTTACTGACTAAAAACCACCCCGTACTTTTTGTACAGCCCTAGCTGAATAAGCACTAAGTTGAGGTACCTACGTCGCTTTATAAATTAATAAAAAAAAGTTTTTGATTTTCAAATAAACGACATATCGATCGCTGCTTATAAATAAAAATCCCTCTTTCTCACCCGGAAGATTCACGTTTTAACACGTCCTGGTAGTCTATCTGTTGTTACTTGAAACTAGTCGAGCTTTTCTCAATTAATTTGAGTTATTCAGTTGTAATAGTATAAGTAAAAATGGACATAGTGTAATATAAGTAAACTGTTCATTAGTCTCGCTAAAACACAATTAAGGCTGAACCGACATGGATAAAAGTGATCTTGAAATATTACTGGATATATTGGAAACGTTAAAAAAGTCAGACAATAAAGAATAAACTAATAAAGAAGTACTGGTTATATTTCAGGCAGTACGAAGTTTTCCGGTCAGCTAGTTAAAGTCATAATAGTCAAAGAGCATTTAAAAAAATGCATCGAAAACGTCAAATAATCAAAACAAATGTTGATGCACGTCTGACCATTTGCATTTTAATTATAATTTACATGTTTAGCGGATGCAAATTAAATGAAAAATGCTATCATGAATCATCGAACAATTAAATATTTTGAATTTAATTTTATTATGACAGTAATAGATAACTGAACGTGCGGAAATTTTATTAATTTAATAATATAATCGTTGTATAGCGCCTGAGGCGTGATACTCGACATTTTGTACACGTTTAAAATCATCCTTAACGCCATTGCGCAGTGATTTATGTGTTTTAAATGAATCCAACGGATAGAAACCACATTGAATATACATGAGAACATAAAAAACGCTCCAAATCTTTTGTAATGCTAGGCAATTAAATTCTGAAATGTCAGTTAAGTACGAAAACTACGCAACGACTTTTATTGGATACATAAACTAGGTGGATTAAGGTAGAATATTAATCATGATATAAATTGGTTTATTCTCTATTTTAGTAGAAATTACAAGCTACAACAATTGTGTAAATATTTGTCCATGAGAAACAAAATGTTATGAATATAATATTGCAGAAATATTGTTTTTTATTTGGATCACGTGCCGCGTCCAAATCTGCTTTTCCCTAAAAAAAAATGCAATAAATTATTCTAATCGCATTGGGGTTTAAATTGTTGGAAGTTAATTGCATCGTTGCTATATACATATGTAATATACAAATCAAAATATTTATCCTTGAATCATCTTTATTAATAAAAATCGAAAAAATGTGTTCACACATCGCATCATCAGCTTCTAAGTCCATTTCTGACAAGATCATTGCTGAGCAAATGCATATTGTCATACGGAGGCACACGCTTGCTGTTTTTAAACTCAGATTTGCGATTTTAAACTTAAGGTAAAGGAATTATATAAGAAAATTGTTTTGCTTTACAACGACACTACAAACATGTGTAGCTAAGTATATATCTGTAAGAGAATAAGAGGCAACCTAATATTATGATGAACACAATGATATCGCATGTACAAAAATGGGAACGTAAATGAATACACGATATCTGTTAGGCCGGTAATAAATCTAAAAAAAATAAAATAAACGAGAATTATTATTTTGGTATTTTTAGTTTATAATTTCATTATAAATTTATTTTTTCTCCTATACGGGTAAACGGATCCATAAAAAAATAAAATAATAGTAATAATGAAATAGAATGCATTGACTTATTAATATCGTTTTTTTTTATTAATGTTACAGGTGCTTGTAATAATGAATATCTAATTATGTAAATTTAACAAGATTATCGATGAGTGAAATTTAAAATAAGATATGACTAAACATCATTTTGTCCCGTAAAACGAAATCAGGTTTGCATTTTGGTATGTAGTGGCCAAATTGTGGATTTGGTCAATTCACAATATTGCTTGAGTATTTCATGATATGGTCGCATTTCAGAGGGCCTACCGCTTTAACACGTCATGGTAGGGGTACAGGTACTGGTTAACTATTTATTGGCTACTTTTATTTATTTAACTATTTTTTTCGTTTATACAAGACTAAAAAAAGTTGGTACATAGGGTGCATTTAATGCCATATGGCGTTCTCTATCAGTCAACCTTTGGGTCAAGTAGAGAAATCAGCAAAAAATACATATAGATATTAGACTGCACGGTTGGTGCGGTGGATAGGCAACTGGCTGCCGTGCAACGTGTCGCGGGTTCGACTCCCGCACGGAACAACACTTTGTGCGATCCACAAATTGTTGTTTCGGGGTCTGGGTGTCATGTGTATGTGACATTCTATGTTTGTAAACGCACCCACAATACAGGAGAAAATCCTAAAGTGGGGCAAAGATTTCTAAAAAAAAAAGATACGGATGATGTTTTGTTACGAAGTAGCACGGATAGATCATTGATTAAAAATCGTGTATTGATTAGGGAAACTATACGCTCGAGTAATTCATGCAACGATCAAGATTATTGACTGCACGGTTGGCGCGGTGGCTGGGCAACTGGCTGGCGGAACAACTCTTTTTCTGATCCACAAATTGTTGTTTTGGGTCTGCGTGTGATGTATATGTAAAATTGTATGTTTGTAAACGCACCCACGACACCAGAGAAAATCCTAGTGAGGACCAATGTTTTTTTTTTTATATTCTGTACACTGTATTCCACCTAAATAATATTTGGAATATTGTTTAGGTGGAATACAGTGTAAATATGTTTAAATATTTAGGGAGTAATGTCGAAAAATTTAGGTAGACCAATCACGATTGTCATAGCGTGTATTGTAATATTTAATTATGAGTGAGGGAGTAAGAGGAACAGTGTACAAGAAATACAGAAATTTACTAATAATTTTATAATAAAAATATATAAATAAGGTTGAAATTATAATTCACACCGAAACAGTTTTTTTTCTAAGATTATTTGACGTTGTTATAATAGTATTAGCACAACGCTGAGGTATTACATTTATTATTTGATTTTTAGTATTTTTTTTTTTTTTGTAAAAAAAATAGATTAGGTATATTATTACTTACTTACACTTATACTTAAAATATCTTGCTTAATTAAGCACATAATGATCTGAAAAATTAACGTTTATAGGTAGGTAGCATCAAAAGGTATTGTAGGTAATAAAACATAAAATTAGTTCATATTTTTTTTAATCACGGAAACCATTCGGATTGCCATGTTTTTAATGTTATAATCCATTACATTATAAATAATTTATATTCAATTTTAATATCACGGCCTGCTTAAAGTTTAGTTTTAAAGGTAGATAACATATTGACTGTAAAGAAATAATAAAAAAATGAAGTAGAAATGCACATATTTACAAAAGGTTCATAAATTGTGATCTAGTGATAGATTTAAATTGGTTAAACTAATTTGTTAGTTGTTCACTTCTTCTGGAGCTTGGAGAGGTACTCAAGGGACTTGAGGATAGCCTCAGGGATTGCGGGGGGCTTGGGGAGAGCATCACCCTGAAAATAGAAAGAGCAAATGTCAATTTTAAGTATTATTCTAAATTATAAAATCTTTATGCAACCATCTTACATTGTGACATATTCATATCAACCGGTCTTCTTCTCACACATAATCCTCTTCGATCATGATTAGGTATCGAACCAGTTCTCACAAATGTGATCAATAGCCACTCCTAGGACCCACTTAAGACAAGTTTTGTTACTTTTTTTCTGATAATTACGGAAGCTTTGGCATTTAGATCACATCCTCTTTTACAATAGTAAGTCATCAATAAACCATATTTCAAGATTTTTTATATTTTTCTAGTTATACTCACAGAGGGCTGGTATCCGTTCTCGTCAGCGACGAAGGAGATGACGATGGGCTGACCCTCGGGAGAGGTCCAGGAGAAGGAGCCCTGGGCGACAACTGGGGCTACAGGTGGATTGCCACCGAAGTCTTTGGGTGTTCCTTGAACGGCAGCAGCAATACCGTTGTCGATTTCAACACTGCAAAACAACAGGGTATTAGAAAAATGGGAAAATTACAAGTAGAAAACTTAAATATAATTATATTATATATTATTGATTATTGTATTATGAAGATGTATTGGTACATACTTGTAGCTGTAGCTGCCGTCAGGGTTGACTTCGTTGTCGTAACGGAGGATTTTGGCGTCTTTGTCGTTGCTGACGACGCGGCTGGCAACCGCTGCAGGCTTGGGGGCGGGAGCGGGCTTGTAGCGACCGTACTGGTCGAATTGGGCGGCGGAGACAGCCAAGATGGCGGCGAAAACCAACTGAAGAGAAATAACATAATTCAAAAAAATATATTCACTTACAAAACCGAAAATCAAATAACAAAATGCTTCTTGTACTTACAGCAAATTTCATTTTTATGATATTTTTTTTCTTTGTTAGAAGAAGTGAGTAGATCTGATGATCGTTTGTTAACTGATGTCTATTCAAGATTTTTTTGATACTTTTATACCAATCCAATCCATTTATTTACGCAAGACGGCATTGATATTGTTAAAATGTTTCCATATGTATTAATTATTAAAAGATGCAACATTTAGTTGTCAACAGAAAGCATCGACCGCATGCGAAATTGAATTACAAATGTATTTTAATCGTGTTATTGTGAAAAAAAAATCCGAAATAGGATCCAATCCAGTCACTTGTCGATAGTCAAGAAGTACGGTCACGAAGAACCATTATTTGTTTATTAGACAAATCAAAATAAATATTTGAATATTAAAAAAGGTTCCAATTTCAAAGAAAAATTCCCGGAACGGCAACAATGCGAACACAACATATGTAAAATCATTTAGGTAGAACATAACTGTGTTATCAATTTGTGTCTGTGCCGAGTTCCTGCGAAAAAATTTTGTAGCACAAAAAACATTTCTTATTAATTTTGTACTAGATAAGTTTTTACTTTTGTACTCTGAACTAACGAGAATTTTAATTTCATTCTATAGGTAGGTTCATAATATTTATATTTTATTTAACTTACATTACCTACTGTATACTGTCTAAAATCTTTAATTTCACATCTTTATTATGTATCATTTCATGATAACTTCTTCTCTTAGTATCTTACAATCATCGCTCTTTCGATTTTAGACCATCTTTTTCTTTATTTATAATTATCATTTAATGATTAAATAAATTGCACTTTTCAACCTATTTAAAATGATTAAAATTCCTTAAAAAAACTTGTTCATCGTATTAACCTTTGACATTAGATGCAGATTTCGATTAACACAGATAGCCTCATTAATTACATCTGACTCTCTGGGGTCGATAACCATTAAAGTTCAATATTTTATATATTATAATTATACCAATAGGATAAAGGGATAGTAAAATAGGATTTCAGTAGCATTTCGCATTTGGAAAATGATGACTAAATATTTGAGGTTCCTGTGTAGGAACTCTAACCATTGTGTGTGATACAGTACTAAAAAGTACAATTGCACTTGCATCAAAATGACACCATGAATAAGTGACATCCAAACTTCAAAATTTATACCCCATTGGTCGGTAACGCACTCTACGATTTTGCGTATGTTTATAGTTGGCGTTAATTGATTACTATCTGGCAATCCTTACTTATGTTTGCTGACAAACCGCAAGCGGTAAGCACAACAATTTACCGTGACCCTGGAACAGAGAAGGAGAAAGAACCGGTGGTAAAAGTCACTAAGAGCCTGACACTCCCTCTCGCCTCACCCAGGGGCAAAGAAGCAACAGGATGATTACCGGTCCTCCAAAAAGATTGGCCTATACACAAGTGGTAAACAGAAATTAAAGTTACACGATGACGAAGCCAAAAACACGGTGCTTGTTGAATCAAATGATCTTTTAGGTACCCTAAAGCTATTTTAGTTTAAATTAAAAACAGACTAGTTGTAATTAATCCATCAACTTCTTTTAATCACCTGCCCAAAGAATAAGTTTAAACTAGTTTTTAGTGTTGATAGATTACGTACCTCCTTTAAAAAGTTTTTGCATAGTGAAGAATATACCTACGGCAAAAACTGACAGCCTCATTATAATGTGTTTTTATGATAACATCCTATGGTTAAAAATATTTATATTTATAAATAATAAATCTATTGAACATGAAAACCTTCTTCTTGGACCATTTAATGTTATAAAGAGTATTCTAGAAGTTTAAAATTTACATCAAACGTAAAAGACATAAATAAAAAAAAGTGACTGATATGGCCGATAACATCACACCATCGTCCGGTAATATTCATCAAACCGAAACGGGCAAATAGTCTAGACTCGCCTGTGACTCACTCATCAAGAATGTTACAACAATTAGTTTTAATTTATAGTGTCACTGTCAAAATTACAAGTCCGAGATAACTACTTTTTTACATAATTTTGAGGAGAATGACTAAGCGGTACAACGATGTTCATCAATAACCACAAGTACAATAAGCTTTCATAATACCTTCTAAAGTTAAAGTACTTGTAAAGAGATGGTAATTCCTTTTAGTATTATGCCTCATCGAGATTGCCCAATAAACTGAGACAAGTATTGCTTTGTAAGGCAGAGGATATGACTCCGCCTACGGGCTATAAAATCTCAGGTAAGAAATAAGCTTGAAATACCTCCGCTGCGAATAATAATACAACAACAATGCTTAAATTTTTTTAATAATTTGTGCTCTCGAAATATTTTACATCGTATTTAATTTATTATAACTATTTTGGTTAAGGAGCTTTGGGCAGATGAGCTCCGCTAGCTCTGAAACCATTCTCGTCGGCGATGTAGTCTACTCTGTATTTGAGACCGTCATCGCCTATGTATTCGTAGAATCCCTTAACCCTGGTACCTCCACCGACTCCATTGTGAGAAGCGTCAACAATGCCGGACTCTTCGGCAGCAATGCCGTTGTTGGTTTCGTATGCGTAGTGGTAATTGTTTTCATCGTAGGTCCTGTCTTCTCTTAGAATAGTTGCAGCAGCATCGGAGACAGATTTGTGGTAAACTGCTACAGGAGCCTTCTGAGAGACAGACTTCTGGTAAGTTACAGGTGACTTTTCAGTGACTGACTTCTGGTAGACTGGAGCCTGGGTGCTTAAAGCGAACGGCCGTGGCGTAGAGTAAACGAAAGGACGGTAAGTCGATGGAGCAAATGGAGTGCGGTACGTCACTGCTGATGTAGGCAGAGCCACGTGCTCAGCGCTGTGAAAAATAGATAACTAATTTAATATAGCGTACTTACACAAATCTTATTTTTATTTTATAAAACTATGGATACGTAAACTCTGTCGTAAATTGGATTAATCAAATAAATAATAATCAGCTTAATTTGGAAAGAGCTGTGAAGAGACCCACGCCTTAATTACGAATTCGTTACACGTGTTCGTCCTTGAACTGTCATGGGTAATGTCATCTGTCACGTTGGGCGCGGACTGGCAGCAACGCGGATGTACTAAACACCTCACTCAAGATACTATCAAACAACACATTTCATCTCCAACTACCAGATTAAAATAATAAAAAGGATTTTTATTTTAAGACATATTCCCCAAGACTATAAATGTAACACAATCTTCTGGGATGTTGAAAAAAAATGAAGATTATTGTTGACATTTTAAGGAGTGTTGAAAACATGGTTAAATAATATCTAAAGCTGCTGATATCTAGCTCAAGATTGTGTTTTATTAGCTTTTTTAAGCTACAAATATCAAGATACATCGATAGCGTATGCTAGAAATATCATTTCAAAAATATTAATGACTTCTATTACGATCTTCCTAGTAAATATCAGCCTTATTAATTTATCAACTAAATGGCAGATATCCAAGTATTGGAACCTAAGATCTTAAAGGGCATTAGTTCAATAGTAATCCTGAACTATGCAAATGTGGGCGCTTCCTGCTTGACATTTAATTCTTGCTCATTGATATATTCCTGTTTAAAGACGCTGTGATAAGATCGCGATTGGTAAGTAAATATGTTAAATAAATCCTATGGAAAGTTGCGTCAATGTATTTTGTAAACAGGTAAGTATTTCAGGGATCAAAGTAAAAGTGTAATCGTAGTTTTCCGCTTGAGGGAAAAACGTATTGTAAAATAATATTATCACATTATCTTGATACAAAGTAAAATAGGTGTAAGAAATATGATTATACAAAAAACTAACAAGCCGTTTTACTAGCATTATAAAAAGTAAATCTTTACATAAAATTTGTGGATCTCGTGATTTTTTGAATAAGACTTATTCACTAGAGTTATATTTTTTGTAGATAGTCAATTGGTTCTACAAAAAATATAACTCTAGTATATAGTATATAAGTACTAAGTATATAACTAAGTATATATAATAGAATATTTTGAACATAAGGACCAAACAATCTAGGAGCTCGTACCTAGCACTTATAACACTTATACAAACCAGTGTTTACTATCAATGATAATTTAATTATAATGGCATAATATTACACAATTACACAATACAATTTCCCCAAATAGTTCAGTAATAATTGCTCTTACCTGTCGCTTACTACGGGTGTCAAAAGCTCTCGACTTAGCGCCTGATAGTACCGTGGTTGATACGCGTTGTAGATCGAACCGTATTTGCCGTTCCTTTCCGCCAGGTATCTTCCATCGTATCCTCCGTAGAGTTCAGGATGATACCGACCATCGTTCACCAAGTGACTCACATCAGCTTGAGAAAAGCTGACAGCAGTCAAGGCCAAGACAATGAACTGAAATAATAAAATTACAATTATTATATGAATATGGAACCTATTTCAGAAGGAGTAGGAGTTATTTTGCAAACACAGTTATTATAATTTTAAAAGTGCCTAGACGATTTTTAGTTGAAGAACTGCAAGTATGTTGTCGCTAGACGTTTAGTTGTGATTAAATGTAAAGGAGTTATCGGTATATGTTGTAATGGATTTAAGGTTTATTTTTCAGCTAGACTTATCACCTATAACAACCTATATAATATTTTGATATATACGACTTGATTTGTGGCTTTATGTTTCTTGTTAGAGACGATCTAACTTTTTAATTTAAGTACACAAGTCGAAATAAATCCAGTATTAAATAAGTGAAACTATCACTAGTAAAATTAAAACCGCAGTTAAATTCGTTAGAAACCTATTATAATTTAATTTAAAGCTAAATTTATTTTAATTTTTTCACTATTAAATAGATTCAAAAATTTTTCCTACCAAATACACTTTTACATATCACCATTCCAAAAGAAAATTAGGACGATATTTTATTTAACAGCTATTATTTTTAAATTGATTAGATAACTATGTTAATAGCTATATCAAACAGTTGTTATAAACACTTAACGACTATACGATCTTAAAATCTCAGTCAACTTTTGAAACTAAACGCCCATTCTTAAGCGCAGTTTCCTAGTTGTAGGTAACTAAGCCCTATTACTATAATTACTATTAGCGAAACCCTTATTCCAACTCACAGTGATAGTCCTCATTGTTACGCCTAGCTTCTTAACAATAGAATAAATCCTTTACGCCCATCGTCTCTTTATATACAATCGTCAAAATCTTAAATGGAGTATTTATTGCAACAATACCTACGTATAAATTGCAAAAAATGTAAATTTTGTTTTGTGAAGGCGTACGAAGAGGCTTATTTGGGCCGCTATGTGATATATTATACAACTGACCACACCCAAAGTGGAATACTTAGATCACTCGAGGACTATGTCGCCCACTAAACCAATACTATTGCCGGAAACTTGACAGGTATAAGTAGCATTAGTTCCATATTAACATAATGAATGAGAGCATGGTTTAACATGATTTACTTTTAACTAGTTTGGTAATCACTTTTGATTTCATCTTAAAAGACTTATTTTATGTGTACTCCATTTATTACAGCCTAAAACCATTTCCAGCCAGAGCCTGTTGGTTTGGTTGGCGGTGATTCCCGCACGGAACAACTTCTTGTATGATTCACAAATTGTCATTATGAATTTGAGTGTTTGTCCACGCACCCAGGAGAAAATATGGAAGAGATAATATAAAAGTAAATCATTACAAAAAAAAGGGTACTAATCAATAAATAATAGTTCGCGTAACCGTTACCACTAGTAGAGATGTTATAAGGAAATATGTGTAACTTATTTTAAATAACTTTGAAATACATAATGTCTTCTAATTTGGACCTTCCTAAAAAGAATACCAATTAAACCAAATTATAATATTAGGCTGCACCTAATTAAATTATGACACAGATATCGACATAATATACCCTTATACGTAGAGATACGATATAATGAAAATTAATAACATTTCAGATACTTAAAACATTTTCAATTTAGATCAAAATTACATAAGAAGCCTCAGTAAAAACCTATGGGAAATGGCAAATGGGATTAGTGCCAAATATTTTATAGGCGTCGGTTGTAAATACTTATAAACCATGGCGTTCCTCCTCCTTCTCTGATTCTCAAAATACATCTACTTACCCCATTTCAATAATATAATTACCCAGTTTAGGAAAAAAGTACCTATGAAACACTAAAGGAAAGTCCGACTTTTTTGTTATTATCTGAAATTCTCTAATTACTTCTCCGACCTTGTGAGGGGCAAAAAGAAGTAAGACTCTAACTGATCAAAAACCATGTCGTTTCTTCTGATCTGAGCTGGGCTGCGGCCCATATTTGTATGGCTTATCCATTTTTATTTATTGATTGGTATATGTTCCGGACTGGAATGTTAAAAGTTTACATACCTACGGTTTTTTGATATTTTATTCGGATCCTTATATGAACATACAAATTTAAAGTTGAACTACTTATCTCCGGAACTTTACTTTGACTTCCAACAGTACTTTTTTATTTCTAAGGGACTAAAAATCTACTAAAGTTCAGTTTGAAAACCAGTGTTTCATTTATCAAGGAAAATGGTATCTTTATTAGTTCCATGCCTTATTAGGAGGGAAGGTTTCCTGGTTGCAGTTCCTGTAAGAAAAATCGTATGCGAGATGATTTCTCAGGAGTCTAATCAATCCCAAAAAAGAACAATAAAAATACCCTTTTCAACACTGTTAAAATGGATACCTCATCACGATGACTGAGCTGAGAAATTACTTTGACATTAAATTATAAATCGAGAAGCATGAGGACGCCGCTTTTCAATATTGTTCATAATCAGAAACGAAAAAAAAACAAAAGAATTTATCGACATGTCCAAAATAGACGAAGCAAAAGTTTATAAATATTAATGAAGCATTTTATTATAATTCTAACATATTTTCTGATCTTACGTAACACTGATCTCGTATTTTATTGTCCTCAGAATAATATAGAACGGAGAACATCTTTAATTTTATGTATCTGTAACATTTTAGTTGAAACAAGTTTCAAAGAATGTGTTATTTCGGATTATTGCATTTTTATTTGAAGGTCAAAGACTTTATCCTGTTTGTTATAAGGATGTACGTGAATCACTTAAGTATACTTGGAAGATATCCTTCTTCGAGACAAACTATATTCTTGTGGTTTGATATTTTTTGCAATTTATTGTGTGGTTTTCCAGTAAAATTTACACGTATTTCCACAAACACACGGATAAGGGATAATAAAGATGTGTAAAGCTTCTACTTGGGAAGTGACAAGGACTAAGTATTTATCCCGAATTAAATTAAATGAAAAATATAAAATGTAGGTGTTGTGGAGTACCTACTGAGGCACGTATGACCCAGAGTGATTTCACGCGTAAAACCAGCATGAAACAACTAGAACATTATATTTCGCCGTATGTGTGTAGGGAGTCTGGAGCAGGAGAAGGGACGAATGGGTTTTTAGTCAGTAAGAGTCTGAGATTACCTCTTCCAATACCTTGTAGGTACCCTGTGTTGTACTTCCTCTGGTGTTGTGGGTGGTACGTACATTTGCCACATTAAAATACAATGTCCCCATTAACTTCAGAATTATTTTATCCTGACACTTTCTTACTCTCGAAAAATGTTCTTAATTTTATTTATGAAAAGGTTTCAGGTAGAAATATAGGTAAAAAAGCGTCTAAAGTTTTCTCCTTCTTTTTACATATTGAAAAAATCCAACTACAGTAGATGTTATAAGTATGTCATTTCCCGTGTTATCAGAAATGTGTAAATTGTACAGTAAATTGGGAATAACAATATAATTTAGACGCAATAGGTACATTAATAATCAACATGAAAAACTCCATCAAAGGCGCCTCATTAAGTCGATTTTTTGTTTGTTTTAGATAAGTTAATTAATTTTATTCAGTGTTTTGATTGTTTTTATCTCACAAATATAAGTTTTGATTATTTATCTTCATTGGTGTGAATCTGTTATCTTTTTTTTTAAATAAACTGCTTGTTTTTTTAGTCTTTTGAACATAAACGGAACTACTTATCTTGGATTCTAGGTTTATTTACAAGTTTGAGTATGTTCCAGAATAACAATGAAGAATGTATAAGAATATTGAGAGAAATTGTTAGGTAACACCGGACATGATATATGTTTGTTTAAAAATACACCAAATTTCGAATTAAAATACTCGTTATAACATATCAAATGTAAGGCAAGACTAGTTAGTAAAGGTATTAAAGTCAAAGTTATAACTGACGCAACAAATATATTCGCAAACAAACTAACATCGGTGCTTTTATGACACAGTCATAAGCCAAATCAGCCTTTTTTTACAATATGGTATATAACAAATGAACAATAAATACAATCTTCCCTAAGACCCTGCGGTATTTACCACTGATAAGTCAACAAAGCAATAAAGCTCAGCGGTCATCAGCTCCTTTTAATCCCTTTACTGGGTTAATTTATTTGAATATTGACGATACCTGCTATTAACAAAACAGCCCTTTTTACAAAAAGAATGCACCATGTTGAAAACCGCTACCTACGTTGACAAACACCTAAATATTTTATAATTAAGAAGTAATAAAACAATATTAAAAGTGTTTTACAGCTTATATTTTAATTAAAATTAGTGCAAAATCATATAATTTTATAAATATCACGGTTATAATACATTAAATAGGATAACTGGTTCATTCTGTCGTTGTGTCGACAACTCTTACAAATACTTCGTACTCCAACTTCACTTTATTTGTTAGGGAATTCTTTACGGTATTTAGAACTTTAGTGCCTCTAAAACTGTAGTAGGAACCGAATTTTTCGCCATGAGGGAGCTTCAGTGTTGGTGGATATCTGGAAAAAGAAGATAAAATAGTTTTTAATAAAATTCCAAAGTGATATGAAATTGTAATCAAATAGCGGACTGTCTCTGCTTCGCGCGGTATTTCAACATCGGTGTCAGTCAGTTGTTTTGTTACCCCCACGACATTGATAGGATTCCTAATTCCCAATTTTCCCTCTACTATTTTAACATTGTCTTTTATATTAATTTTTATTTATTTAACTATAGATCAATTTATACATTAGGAACCTTTTCTTAACAATAGCAGACATTACAAAAAAGGGATGCGCCAAATTGGTCTTAGCATTGAGTAATTTTGCAATTCATTTTTATTTTAGATAGATTGTATAAAAAACATAATTTGTAACTGACTAGTGAAAAACACAGAGATCACAGATTTTTTAGATTTCAGACAAAAAAATAATAATAGTACTGTACTGTTGAATTCAGAAGCTTACAATCTACCTCAACCGAAATTATTAAAATGAAAAAAAAATTAAAATAATAATTTATCGTACCAGTGGCTACGTTTAGCATAAAGGTTATTGTAAATAGGTAAGTTTACCAATACGATAAACAAACTTTTTACGCACAGCGATAACCTAAACGTACAATTCTTTGTTTGTTTTTTTTATGCTGTAAACCAAACCTATAAAGTAATTTAGAGTCACCATCATGTATGGATTTTTGGCCTGCAAAACTCCAATTAAAAGTTAAAGTCGCCAAACTGCTTTGCAAGCGTGGTGATCCATGTTCCAATATGTGTTTGAGAAGAGGCCTTTGCTGAGCATTGGATACTTAAATACTGTTGATAAATGAATGAATAATGAATGCCAGGACTTTTTCCTTGTTTGATAGTCAACGTATTGCGTATGCCTAAGTGCTGCACACGGTTGTGTTACCTAGTTAATAATACTAGTAGGATAGATAAACATGTTTCTACTTACTGGGTCACAAACTCCGTTTGATTATAAGTTGGTTCCAAATATCTGCACTTCACTGCAATCTCCTTATCAGCATACACCTTCCTGTAGTGGTTTGTGCTTCCTTCATATTCATCTCCGAAGTTGACAGCCTCGTCTGACACATATTTGTCTACCAATCCCTTAATGACTTTATGAATGTAGGGATATCTGTGAGCATATGTTTTTGAGCCGATGTAATCGATTGGGTTTCCTCTTCGGCCACCAGAACCTGGAGGGCCGGGTGGGCCGGGCGGACCAGGTGGACCGGGTGGGCCTTTAGGACCATAGGGTCCATTAGGACCATTAGGGCCGTTTGGTCCAAAACCTCCATTTCCTCCATAACCTCCATTTCCTCCGTAGCCCCCGTTTCCTCCATTTCCACCGTTACCTCCATAGCCACCGTTACCCCCAAATCCGCCATTTGGTCCCACTTGGTGTACGTATCTGTAGTCGCCATCATCTTCTGGATATAAACCTTGTTGGTAAATGTACGTATATTTTCCCTCATCTCCGGGAACATACTTGCCTTCGTCTAAAGGTCTGTAGTACCCTCCATCGTCGTATACCCTGTATTTCTTTGGATGGTACTTCCCGTCGTCATAAGGCGAACATTGTATTACAGCCCATAAAGACAGCACCAATACCTGGAATAAAGTTATGAATATTCATTTAACCACATATTTGCCTTGACACCTATAATGCACTAATTTAAATACGCATTATATCCTATGCTTCAACATTCTGAAGGCATACAAGTATTTAATATTAATGAAGTAAACCCCTGAATGTTCATTGTTTTCACTCATATTGTATATAGTTAGATTATTGAAAATCCCAGAATGTCGTAAATTAATCATAAGAAAAAAATAATAATTCACAAAAATATTAAAAAATAAAAGAAAAGATTTGAAAGACTCGGGCCAAAATTTTTTATGTTTCATCTTAAATACCTATACAGTGCACTTCAACTTTATAAAAATATTATTATAATTACTTATTAAAATAATGAATGAATAATATTCAAATATGTATTCTAAAAATCACAACACACTATAAATGAGGTTACGTTATATAAACTTATTTTGCATATTTAAAAAAGATGAATTTTAATTTAATAAAAATATGTACTTACAAATTTCACAGCACTTGACATATTCACGAACAAATATTTGGAGCCACCAGAATAAAATTCTCACACAGCTAGCCTGCTTACTCCACAAATAGTGTTACAGATCTGAAACTAGATCAAAATGTGTCATAGGTTAGCACCTCGGAGGATATACATTTATATTGTCAAATTCATCTACCTTATCATTGACATTTGATTAACATTTAAATTAATAAATAAATTGTATTAAAACGTACCAAAAGTGGAACAGTATCCTTAAATCAAGGTGTGACGAGGTCAGATAAAAGTATTAGCATAGCTTATGAATTATAATAGTTCCGTAGCAACTTATTTATCATTCACTTTTGCACTTCAACGTTGCATTTTTTATATTAAAATTTTGAGTCACTAACAATCCCCGTGCAGTTTGAGACGACCGGCTTGCAAGAGAGTCGTAATTCTCTTATGGGATGTTTGAAGATCCACTTCACACATCGATTTGCATAAAACAAAAATCATTAAAATGCAACTATATAGAGCCCACTGCGTTCACAAGACCTTATTGATTCACATCTAGGTTCTTGACATGCAAGACTTAGGTGACATACAAAATCTAGTCCGCTCGCCTTTAAGTAGGTGTCGAGGTACCTACGTGCTGTGTTATGACATGAGTGGCATCTATAAAGACAAATATGTAGTCTATAACAACTTTATTATGCCATTTACACTTTTCTAGATAAAATTATTCTCCAAATGGTTATATAACGCATCGTCTTTTCTTAGCATTTATATACAAAGAGTGAATCTTGAATTAATTAATAATCTAAGCTCACTGTTCTATTAACATTATACTGAAATTGGAATAGCTCATTTTAGGAATGACCTCGTACTTTTGAGATATGCCATATTAATTATATTTCTTAAAGTATATATTCCTCTTGATTGAAACCTAATTCCTCTTGCTCAAACTGATAGATAGACTGATTAATTATTTTTTGGGTTACTGTTAATTTGGACAACATTTTTTTCGACATTTCGTCCGAAATGTTACTTTTCTATTTAAAAACATTGAAACTAACGATTGGTACAAGCGAAAAAAATATTTTTTTATATTAAGAAATAACTAGTTTGACCTAGGCTAAACTTCTTCAAGCATAATATAGGGCAAAATGGGATGGTATGCGGATAGATACGAATGCCATGATGTAAAGTTATAGCCATGAGTTACGTTCGTTACGTTACTGCAAACAGATAGGGAAGACATGGTGGCCACTAGCTCCGTCGCTTTTGACTATTTTAAAAGATTATTCGGAAATTGACCGACGGGAACTAAAGAAAACTATTCTACTATAATTATTTTTGGTGGTACGAGTAACGAACATTCATTCATCCATACATTTAATTCCGCAATCATTGTGTGCACAAAATAACATTAAACTGCAAGAATTAACCCAATGATTAATCCAATTACAAACCCGAATTTCGCGTGTACCGAATCGCTTTGATTATTTCAAGTTGTTCCACACGTCAGCAAAAATATATAAATTAAAATTAAAATATTATTTTGGACAAAATTTAAGGATCTTTTTGTCTGAGATGTCAGAAATATTAAAAACAAAACAATCATATAAAATCCTCTAAATTTCCAAACTTTTAAAACATTGGCCATGGGATAATCCAAAAATCCTTGTAAGGAAATATCGTTGCAAAGATTCCTGTCGTAGGTGGCTGGGTCAAGGGCCGATGTGGAAGTATATTTATCCTCGCATTGCGAAACTGGAGATCCGAATTCCGATACCAAATGGAAGGTGATGAAATAACAGTTTAAAATAAATTGCAATTGTGACATGCACCTTTTTTAATATTTATTGAATTAATATCATTATTAGTTTATCTTTCCTTGATTTAGACTTCTTGTTGACTAGTTAATCCCCCATTTTGAAAGGAAGAAAGGTTTTGAACATATTTACATACGTTTAGAGTCTTGTCTTGCAAAATTATTGATTATACATACGTTTCAAATTGATTGTTACTGGAAAAATGGATAAAAGGCGTAAACATTTTCTCAAAAAAAAATATAAAAAGTTTCTAACGAAAGATCTTGTAATATACAAGAACCTTCCAAAGCTTACCTAATATACAAAAACAAAGAATGGAAATTAAGTTATGTAGTTATAAACATAATTATATTGTAGTTGATGTAATGTATAATATAATTCAGACATTATTATCTTGTTGCTGTCTTTTAAAATTTAATAATAATGAATGACTTGCATGAGGCATACTAATATAAGGAACTTAAATCAGTTTGTGATCTTTAGAATTTCGTTGAACCAATAAGATTTTCAAGAAATATAAATATATTTTAAACCCAGATTCCTGTTACTAAAAATATTTCTATTGAATTTTAATTAGCAATAGTAAATCGTAGAGGTAAACCGCAGTCACCCGGAACTCAAATATAATTCTCACACCTCGATATCAGTTTCTAGATAGTCATTATTGATTAGATAAATTAACAAAATTAAATGAAAGTAGATTATCGTGTAGTATCTGTCACCTAAATTCTATAATTTATATGAGACCTATGCAACTGGTTCTTATATTTTAGAATAGATTATTTAAAACAATTTATTCATGTATGTCTCATCATTTAGCTTATAATTTTTTCTAAGCAACACCTTGACGCAATATTAAAGAAGGATCAAGATAATATCATTATAATGCGATTTTGTTCATTCACCTTGTCCCCTAAGAATTTACCGTGTTAGTAATGACAAAAGGCTACAAAGGCTCAGTTACATACTTACAATGCAGAAACCCGCTTATTACAGGTCGATGACCTTAAGTTTAAAAAATAAAATCAAAATATATTATTATTTAACATACAAAAAGGAATTTATAATTATTAGATCATGAAAAGATTGACGAAACAAAACGGTGTATAGATAAAAAAAGTTTAATTTATGTACCGACAAATTGCCAATTACACTCAATGAACTGTAATTAACTTCGCATTTATAATAATATATTTGTTTATTTAATTTATGTGTGTGCATAACTTATTGAAGTGTACAAAAAACTTTGTGTGGGTTTTGAACTGTGAGTCATACAGTCATCAATGTTTGATATGAAGTAAAAGTATTCGCTGCGGTTTCACTCCTGTATTTTGGATAAGCTACATCAAAAAATAATCTTTATTGGTAAATAAACTAAATTATTTTGTTACGATAGTAATTACTTTAAATACTAATTTTACAATATGTTTCTTAGGGCCGATTTTTCAATAGTCAGATAAATGTTATCTGAGGAATAAAATGGTTGCTGTCACTGTCTTATACACACATTCTGACGCGCCAACATCATAATTAATCCCCATGTAACTTTAATCTAACCATTAAAACCATTAGCACCTTTGTACTCTTATTTTTTATGTATTTTCCTCTGTGTTGTTTGTGTGTACATAAATTATTAAATAAATAAATAAATAAAAATCCAGCCCGTAAGATGCAAAATTCAAATTAAAAAATTAATAAGGCTTTACAAGGTTCGAGCTTAATAAATTAATCAATACCATTCAATGATCAAATCACACAATAGTTAAATCAATGTTTGAAAGAATGCCAGAGACAGTACTTACTTACGGTATACTTTGGCATTTATAATATTAGTAGACAAATTAAACTAGTTAAAAAGGAATTTGCTTTTTTCTCACCCAAAACTACCCGTCGAACGTACGTTGTCAGGGTAAAATCATCAAATGTCTTCTCCCCCCCAGGGTAAGGCGAGAGAGAGTGTCAGACTCTGACTGACTAAAAACCCCCAGTTCCTTCTATTGCTGAGGGCCGAGGCCGCGGTGACTCATTGCGCTTAACCCCCAACCCCGGCTAACGCTAGCCCTATAGGGCCCCGTCTGCCCTATTTTATTGTTTGTGAGTTGAAAATCATCAAATGACTTCTCCCGCCCAGGGCCGGGCGGGAGGGAGTGTCAGACTCTTACTGACTAAAAACCCCCTGTTCCTTCTTCTGCTCTGGGCCGAGGTCGCGGTGACTCATTGCGCTTAACTCGCAACCCCGGCTCAACATCAGCCCTATAGGGCCCCTGTCTGTGGTGGTCTATTGGCTCTTTGAGGCGCGTGGAACGCTACGCGCCGTACGCTCGGCTTCTTGGTGACTTGGTTCCTCATTTTCGTTTTTTTATTTTAAACACATGTTTGTTCGTCATCTATTTTTTTCCTAATAAAGTCATCTGCAAAATTGCTATGCCAAAAAACTATACTATACTTAAAATAAAACGTACAAATATACATGCTTCGTTTTTTGTTCTAATTGAAGACATTATCGGCGCTGCTACATTTGTTAGTTTGTAAGTAGCATTACGCTTAGAAATGTTTCTTAAACCGAATTATTATTTTTTGCCTGTTTCTGTAATGTTATATGTATATCAAAATAATACACAATATTCCTGAATTATATGGATATACACATGGTTGATACATTTAAAAAAATCCTCTTACTCAACGAAACTAAACTAACTACGAATACTTCGAACTTTCAAAGTTAAATACAACAGTCTAACCATACAAAATTTAAAACGACCGAAATGAGAAAAATATTGAACAAAAAATCTGAATACCGTTGTGCCATCTGTTATCAGCAACGGAAACTACACAACTACATTGTGACAAAGATCAATTTGTAAACAAAATACTATGTATGTGTGAATCTTTTGTAGATATAAATTCATATTTGGTAACAGTAGGTGGCGCTGCAAATAAAAGAATCCAAGTTTATAGCAGGTATGAAATGAAATTCTCCACAAAATAAACATAGGTAATATATATGGTACCGTGATCCAAAAAACAATAATAATCTACTCTAACGAAGTGTAATTATCTACAATTTAATTAACTAGCACTAGTAGTTGTTACAAATGAAATAGCGGTCTTTTCTTGATTAAGTAATTGTTCCACGCTGGTTTTCTGTAAGGCCGTGGTATCACTCCAGTTGAGCTGACTCTTTTGTTCCCAAGCATAAATCACACATTTAGAAATCTAAGAAAACCACGCGTAATAATTGCTGATGTAAACGATACCACTTCCATCATTATGAAAAAGAAGGAAGTAGGTGACTGTTGAACAAAAGCCAGCGTTGGTTTGCAGCAGCAGCCCCCGCTTAACAAGCGGATTTGAGATTATAGTTTACAAAAAGATTAATTATTATTTATTAAAGATTATCGCATTTTAGACCAGGGTGACGTTTCAAATTAGGTATAACAAAATATCAACAGCCCGTGACATTCCACTGAGGTCGCATAATAGATGATAGGTAATTAATTACGTCTGTTATAATTTTGATTGTCACAAATGATATGCAAAGCTTTAAAAACATAAAATTAATATATATGTATATATATCGTATGTATAAATTCGACAAAAATAATAAAAATGACTGATAACGTTTCAAACCTATTTTATAAATTCAAACCTCTAACGTTTCCTACGTCGCGCCAACAAAGTTCTATATATAGAAATGGATAGAAAATACAAAATACAATTTTATTGTTTGGCTTGATAACCGCGCCTAGTCGGAAAATGCTCCCTTTTACGATTACGGGGAATAAAGTACTTTACACTCTGTTCCCTAAATATTCCAGGATATTGACAAATCATGACAGAGATTTTTATGAAAGCAAAATAACAAGTGTGGGAGAGCCATGCTTCGGCACGAATGGGTCGGCTCGACCGGAGTGATACCACGGCCGCACAGAAAACCGGCGTAAAACAACCACAGTGTTGTGTTTCGCCGTGTGAATGGGGTTAGAGGAGGCCCAATCCTTCCTCTCCTTCAATCCCTTTTCAATCTCCAAATTACTAATACCTAAACGGTCAGCCAGGCAATCGTAACTCCTCCGTTGCGTGTGTCCATGGGCGGCGCTGATTGCTTACCATCAGTTAACCCGTCTGATCGTTTGCCAATATATTACATAAAAAAGCGTGTAGGTGCAAAAATTTCCTGAAAAATATTTCCTACGAGTGTATGATTATGGCTGATCTATAACATGAAGGTTTTATTGTAACTGTATCAGCAATAATCTTAAACTCTGAGCTACGATCACGGTTCGTACCGAAAATTCTATCATAGGTCTAGGGAATATATCTTTTTCTCTAGCAGTTTCCCATGACTTATCAATAAAATTTGAAGCTTATGAAAATGACGCTTAAGTTTGCATTAGATTTACAACAAGCAAACTTTATACATATATCATCTTTTTTTTAAATTGATTAATGATTAAAATTAAGAATAAAGACTGGATTTACTTCATCTCTTCAAATTTAGTTCACACAATAATATGTGGGTGGTTTTTTAATACGTTGTACTTGAATGTGTAACCTTATATTATTAACGCTAATGATCATAACAATATTTTATTTATTTTAAACTATTAGATAAGTGCTATTGAACTATAACATTTGACATATATTTTATTTATTAAGGTAAGCCATTATCTGACCTTATTATACTCAAACTGCAAGAAATCTATGAGGCCAACGCTTTTTAGAGGTTTCGGTAGAAGGTTAGTTTTTAAAAAATATTTAGCTGAACTACATGAAGCCTTACCAAAAAGGGTTAAGACGAGGTGTATTGAGGGCAAGTTAGTACCTACATTGTACGTCCATATGGAATTTATGTGACAGACAGTCATTCAACGACTAACACTGACAACTGACATTTACCTGTATCCGGTTGAATGTGGCAAATGAGATGATTTTAATGAGTTAGCATTAAATTATAAACTTGTAATTTTGCATAAAATAGTTTGTAGTATCTCCGCATACTATATACTCTCTAATATGTTTTGTAGTATGTAAAATCATTATGATAAACTACACGACATAACACACCCTGTTTGCCTTTACCGATTTTTTGTTTCTATCTAAGAAACATGTAACACATTATTTTAAACTTTTAATGCGTTTTTGTAACTAATCTCTTCACAACTGTTTATTTTTTATGATCTGTGCACGATATACAAATAAAAATGTAAGTCTTAAATATATGTATATGATATTGGAGGCGAAAAAATCACAAAAAAAGTCAGTAACAAAGTAGCATCTTTATTATACTTATTTAGGGCAGGTACGGTGAATTTTATTAAGTTCTTTTAGAGCTTAATTACCCCAAAATTTTATGAGGAACCATCAGACTAGATTTACTTTGGGATGTGAGCGCCGCTGGGGATGAAACCGTTCTCGTCGGCGGTGTAGTCAACCCTGTAGGTGACACCGTCGGGGCCAACGTACTCGTAGAATCCCTTAGCCCTAATTCCGTCGCTTTCGCTGTCGATCTGCTCGAGTTTGCCAGCTTCCTCAGCAAGAATCTTGTTCTCAGTTTCGTAGAGGTAGTGGTAACCGTCGGGGAGAACTTCACCCTCCTGGCGGATGATGCCGTATTTGTATTCGTAGCCAGATCCAGCAGCAGAACCAGATCCCTTGTAAGCACCTGAACCAGAACCAGAACCTGAGCCAGAGGCAGATCCGCCAAATCCTAATCCGCTTGAGACACCGCTGCCTGATGCGCTGCCTGAACCGCTGCCTGAACCACTGCCTGATCCACTGGGCTTGTAACCTCCAGCACCAGCGGAGCCGCTGTTCTTGTCCCCGGTGTAGAAACCTCCCGCAGAGCCACGGTCACCACGGTCACCGCTGTTTGAAGATAATTTATAAATTATTTCGGCATCGTTAAATCAAAGAAGTAAAATCATTAACTGGTCCATATTTAAATTAATCTAATTAACACTTGCTGATTTATGGTTGACTCGGAAATCATTGAAATCTATACAGATTACGCATATTTTTAGCCTAATTTTATCATTATTATAATAAATATGGTTTAATTTATCCCATAACATAAGGTAGCAGTGCGAATGAATTTATGTGGTTTTAGAGAATAAATACTCACTTGTAAGCACCACTGCCATCAGGCCTGTAACGTCCAGCTTCGTCGTTTCCGCTGTAGAGTCCACCGGGACCACCAACGCCGCCAGAGCCAGAGTAGGCACCACCAGGACCGCCAACAGATCCAGATCCGGAGTAAGCACCGCCGGGACCACCAGCTGATCCGGATCCAGAGTAAGCACCTCCGGGACCACCAGCTGATCCAGATCCGGAGTAGGCACCTCCGGGACCACCAGCTGATCCGGATCCAGAGTAAGCACCTCCGGGACCACCGGCAGATCCAGAGCCAGAGTAGAAGCCTCCAGCACCACCGCGGTCACCTCGGTCACCGCTGAAAATTAAACCTTGTTAGGACTTTCTTGTTCACTTTGTAAAAGTATGATATGTTAAATAAAATAAACTTTATTTAATAATCTCGAGCATTCATAACGCGTTCTATCTAATCTTTTCAAAAATATTTGCAACCTTAGCTTTAAGAAGGAGACATTATTATGTCTGCAATGTATTTTCATATTACTGTTACCAAAAATATCCATTGCGACATTGAAAATCACCACACTTAGTTTAAATTTAATTATCTTGTGAAGGTTAAGTCACGATAACTTTATTCTTGGTTTTACGAACAAAACGTGGACAGAATTATGTTTATGCTATAAATTCTTAATACGCATTGCCGTAAGACTCTTTTTTACATTCTGTTTTTCTGCGACAAACCCGAAACTATTAAATCTCTAGTAATTTGTTTACTAACGTTTGGTTCGTGCTAGCTAAAATAATTATTACATATTAATGTATTATTATGCAACATTAAACTTTTGTTCATAATATTAAATGTAACTGTAAAGGAAAATCTACGCTTACTAATGCTGAAAATTTTAAAATTGCACCATTATATGACACAGAGATCCGACCAACTTTGTACAGTTCTAAATCTGACATAAAACAAGAATGTAATTCCATTTCATACTCTACACCAATGTTATCCTAAACAATTTATATAGGATCTGTAATACGACTAGTGTTATACATAACACACTTACTTGTATTTGCCAGAGTCATCGGGAATGTATCTGCCAGAGTTGTCGTATTGACCGGGGTCGTAACGACCGGCGGCGTCTCCGTTGTACTTCTGGTTGAAGTTAGGGTAGTACCTCGTGGGGTTGTAAGGGTTGAAGGCGTAAGGTTTAGGGGTCGTGCTGAAGTAAGAGTACCGCCGAGTTGTCGGTGTGTACGAAAACGGACTGAACACTGGCCTAGAAAATAAAATATATATATTAAAATTGTGTACAAAATATGTACTGTTCATTTTTTTTTTTTAATTATTGCGAAATTGTGCTTTTATGAGACAGATTACTATATATATATATTTATTAAGTTCATGATTTTTTTTATGGCACCAAATATTTTTTGTGTTTTTTTTTTAAATTAAGAATACCAGAAATATTAATAAAATCATAAATCAAAAAATAATCCATACCTTGGAGGGTCAGCTGCGAGGGCGACTGCCACAGTCAGACAAACAACCTGAAAAAATTAAAAACCAAATCTTAATCCTCGTTGATTAACAGAAATAATGAATTAATAAGTATAAAATTACATTAATAAATATCGGCAATCTGACATTAATTCACTAATAAATTAAATTAATACTTTATAATATCCGTTAAAGTTTATTATCGCTCAATTGCCGAAGAGGTTGCATACTAATGGGGAATCAAAGCCATACTCGATGGTGTTAACAAAGAATGTACCACATTACTTGACACTTACCAAAAAGGAGCGCATTTTCGTTGTTATCAAGCGGACTTAACTACTTGAATGTGCTCTTCTATAGATCAATGCCTATTTATACCTTTTTTGTCTAATTTTATAATGTTCCTCTGTCCAGTTCGTCTCATTTATAATGTGGATGTCTGACGCTAATTCATTAGCACAGCGTTTCTCAATCTTCATTGATTAATTTTGTAGCTGCGACAATATGAGTTAAGATTAATAGGAAACAATCGCTCGGTGTTAAATTACGTGCTTCAGGTATTTTTTAAGTACATAAACTTTAAACTTAATAAAAAACCTACAATATTGCACTCTCAGAGAATACTGCAAAATGTGTATGATATAATTTTAAAATCTTTCAACCTGAATTTTATAAATGGATTGTATTCGACGCGAGAATTGGCGGCGAAGCTTTTTCAGTACTTGAAATATTTGAATTTGATACTGTTTTCAACGTACAAAGGTTAAAAGCTATATCTTATTGGAATTTTGGCTTCAAAACCAACAATTTATGATAAAAAAGGTCCTTTAATATCGCTATAATATTAGTGAAGTTAAAAGATAACACAATTAAAAAAATATAGCTTTGTGGTATAGTCATTCACACTTCAAAGGTGTTAAATATTAGGCGTGATCGCACCGAAAAAAGCTTATGGCATTTAAAACAATAATTTCGTAATAAACCACAGCATTGAAAACTATTTAAGTTATTCACGGCAAGTTTTCAATAAAATTGCCTCAGGCAACTACATATAAAAAAAAATCAATCAATATTCGTTATTTAATGCAAAACTAATAAAATTTGTATTCGGAAAAATCTAATAATATCAAATAAGAGACAATAGTTAACACTTACCGCCAAGAAAACTAGACTAAGATGTTTTAAAAATAAAAACTTAATGATATTTTTAGCAAATATTTACATGAAAACTGCTTCTAAAATACAAAACTAAAAACAAACAGAACTTAAAAAGAATCAATATGACACGCTAAAATGGTAACTCCACCACAAAACCGCACAAGCTTATGAGAAAATTTATTTCCTTTACTTAAAGAACAGACATAACAATCACGGGAAAATTGATTAAAATAATAAAGTAATGATTTTAGGATTAATAAAGTTTTGTGATATGTGTATATGATAATTTTAAATCTAAACCTTTTAGTTCATAATATTTTCCATGTATACACTTTACGATGACGATATCTCAAGAGACTTATATGGAGAACAGATAATATACATTTTGTATCAAATATTTATATGCTTCTGATGGTACTGATGTGGTACTCAACACCAAGTATGAGGCCGTGCCATTTCCAATCTATGTCATGCTAGCCAGTCTAACAAGGTATTATATCTGCATTTTGCATCAGAACAGTTGGTTATGGTGATAATTTTAAGTAGCTATGACCTTATATATATATACAGACTTGTAACAATTAGACTAATGATAAGCAATTACACTGGTACTGCTGCCCACATGATCCGATGTACCTATCAAATTTAATTACCAAACATCTCCAAACGGAACTTGTGGATTGGTCCTCGTGCCACGCCGCACCCGTTTAACCGCCTATAAATTTATGTAATTTAAGTAGTTCCAAGCAGGCTGTTGTTCAGAAACGATTTAGATTTAAGGATTAATTTATTGTGAAGAAAAACAGATGTCTTATTCAAGACTATCTGTCTCAATGCCAAATTTCATTCCAATACTTTCAGTAATTTTTGCGTGTAAAAGATCTAAAATGTTCCTGTAAATACGAGTATTATATAGGTAGAGTAGTAAAATATCTATTATATAGCGTTTCAATAAGTCAATAAGTATTACAAAAATGATAAATCCATCTTAAAAAAGAGAACCAAAATAAGTGTTGCCAAAATAAACTTTTATTATCTACTAGCGACCCGCCCGACTTCGCACGGGTACAATACTGTTACCTTGTCCACTATTTTATGGATATTATTATAATTTTACCACCACCTTATACTTTTAGGACTACCTGTAAAAGAAGAGGGTAAAATGACTAAACGCCCCTCCCCCTCCCCCACAGTATGAAGCATGGCGTCCCAAACGTGCACGCATATATACGAATTTCTATCATTCTTTTTTATTTAGGGGTAAGTAATGTAACTTAACCATAAAAGCTAAACACGCGACGGAAACTTAAAAAAGGGAGTAACTTCTCCTGTTTTTATAACATTTCCGTTCACTGCTCTTCTCCTATTAATTGTAGCCTGATGAAAAGTATACTATAATCTGCCGGAGGAATGTAAAAAATAATTGTACTAAGTTTCATTAAAATACACTAATCACAACCGGGTTTGAAAATATATTTCATGTAAGTACAGAATTGATGACATGTAAGTATGCAGACATGTAAGTAGATATAAAAACTATACCTATTTACCAAAAATATTTTTAATGTAGCCCCACTTTGAGAATCATATGTATACTAATTAATTTTATTATTCAATAAGATCCGAATCACAATATTGTAAAATAGATGACCAAAACATATACCACCTCAGCATTTCCGAGGCCAATGCCATCATCCATTACCGTTAAAATTTGATCCAGTTATATGCACTACCTGATTTAGAAAAAACATATTTAAAAAAAATCTAATGAACTGGCCGAGCTTTAAATAACTATTAAATTACCAGAAATCGAACGAGAAACGACTATTTTCCTTAAATACACAAGACGAGTTCCAACAAACCACTTCTAGTAGGTACTTATAGTACTTACTGTTCTCTATCAGAAGTTACGTAGCGAAATTGGTGATTTATGTTTAGGCAGTAAAACGTGAAGTAAAACACTACCTTTTAAATCAGTAAGAGCCTGAAACTCCTTCTCGGCACATCCTAGGCGAAATAAAAAATTTAATGGGTACCTCATTAAAAATAAAATAAAAAATCCCTTCAAATCGCCCGGGACTGCAAGCCAAGCGCAATAATTTACCGCGATCCAGAACTGCAGCAGGAACAGGATAGTATTTAGTCAGTAAGAGTCTGACACCCTCTCGCCCCGCCTAGATACAGGAAACAAGTAATTTTATTTGTCTTAAACATGAGTTTACATACGTAGCATGCAGGGTGGTCAATGGGGTAGAAATATTTTAATAATTTACCCGCAAAAAAGAAAAGTCATCCAAATATTTCTCATCTTTGAACTTGTTAGTGATGCGCAAACAGTAGTAGTTTTTATAGTCATTTAATTGCTGGCAGACAAAGTAACAGTCGCTGACGAACTAAATAATTGGACTATTATGGTAATATTTCTTTTTTCAATAAGACTCTCGAGAAATCTTATTGATTGTTTTTATTTATGCCTTTTATAAGGCCGATACTTATACCTACAAATAGTTAAGTTAAATGGGTTCAAATGGATTTGTTTTTTTTTTTTATTTTCACGTTTTTTGTTGGATAGGCAGTACAAAAAACTAGATCCTATTAGTCTTTTTATTTTCAAATTCTACGCTATTTAAAATTTATAGCTTTTTGGCACGTTTGTGCAACGTTGGTCTAGAAATTTTTGTTTTTTAATACTTGAAATACCGATTTTATATTTAAAGCAAAAGATCCGGTTGGGTTCAATGAAAATGCTCTCATCAATTTATTGACATTAAAATTTTTATGTTTATAGCTGTCGATGGTTACGTAACTTGTTAAATCAAGTTAAAATTCATAAATTGTAATAATTTAAATAATAGGTTGATTCTCGTGTGTCCTAAATGACAATCTTTAATTAATATTGAACGTCTATCATATTGGAAGTAGCCCTCATAAATTAAACAAACTATTTATACTCAAATTACTTTGAAGTCTATTCAATAACAAAACAGCTTCCTTAAAAATAAATGTTTATCATCTGCATATTCCAAATATGCAATTTTTGCATTGTTCTCGAAACATTAAAATGGACAGACAACATATGTAGAATATTTTTTATATATAGGTGTTATGTCATAGGTCAGACTTTTGCTCTTTTTTATTATAAATAAATTGATATCCTTGCAGATCCAATAACGTCGAAAATGTCATTTATTTTAGATTCATGTTTAATTGAGTCACAAGTCTAACCATGCCCGAATGCTAAGCAAGTCTAGGTATACTGATTACCTACATTACATTATTCACACCTACACCAAAACACTCGGGGAATACGGTTGCATTCCTATCATATGTACTATGATGCGTAGGTAATTGAAAATTCTATAGCAGCCATTACGACTAAATTATTATTAATTGAACATAAATTTACAACTTAATCGACGCAACCTCCATTTGTAACATGCAAATTTTCAGTTGAAAACATATTAGTATGTTATTTTTATTGCTTATGACATAGACATCCTCGAAGAAGCAGTCATAATTATAATCATATTCACAGATATTTACTTCGCAAATAGCATAGCATTGAATCTAGCATCTAACCTCTTATATTAGTATTTCTATATGCCTCATAGCATACATTTGCACCGATTTGGGAAATACATATAATAATTTTTACCTAAAGAAACACTGAAAATTTTATTCTGATGCAAATTTTATCGAAACCTTCGTAAATAAGTGATAAAAAAGATAAATTGTGAATTAAGTAGATCAAATTAAATTATTAAGAAGTCAATAACAAGGCGAGGAATTAATGTGGTTTCCTTATTTTCAACTATAATATTTTAATAATCAAAATATGTAGATTCATTCACATGAATTTGGTACCTTGACGTCTAAAAATAAGGTAAACATTAACTTTAGGCTGTTTAAGTTCAATTCGTCAGCATCACTATTATTATCATCAGCCTATGAGAAAGTACTGCTAAGCAAAGTCTTCTTCTTACATGACAAATAAATAAGTAAGTTGTAGTAATTAACTACCATGTTTTCCCAGGGTATATTAATGGATAACAAGCGAGCAGACTAGTCCCTCGAAGATACACAATCGACGTCAGCCATGGACATCCGTACCTAATACCTGAGGACGTTTCGTTTTTGGTGGTACTATACAATGCAATATTATATGCAATGGCAAATATGATAATATAAAACAAACAAGGTTTAGAAATTACAAACTTATAAAAATAAACTATAAGT